CAGCAGCAGCTGTGGCCGTGGGGGAGGGGCAGGGTGGGCAGGGGGCCCGAGCGATATAAATATCCGAGGACAAGCAAGGCCCGTCATCTGTCCAGACTTAGAACATGACGTGCAGAGCGAGGCCACCGGGCCCACGTCTTCGGCGAGGCCAGTCCGGCTGGGTGGCGCCCCCCGGCATCAGCCCCGGCTCCCACAGCCGTTCTAACAATAAGAAGTCTCCTGGCAGCACTGGCCCTATGGAGTGGGCATACACCCCAGCCTAGCAGTAGTGGGGTGCACTTGGAAAAGGCCGTCTGGGCAAGGGGTGCGGACAGCCGCCCCAACGTCACCTGGCCGGCCAGAGACCCACACAGACATACAGGAGCCCCCCATCAAGGGGCTGTGCCTCCGTACTCCAGGCCACTCCTGGGGTCTGCCCTGCCTCCCGGGAGCCCCGGTCTGTGGAAAGCAGGCCCACGCTACATCCTGGACTGGCCTGGACTCAGTGTGCCCGGGAAACAGGATACAGGGGTCACCATCCTGTCCCCCTCCTCCCAGGCCCCAGCAGACAGGGCTGAGGACTGCACACGGGGTTTCTATGGCATTTTGTGGCACTTCCGTGTCAAGCACGATCCTATTTAACCCGCACAGACCCCTAGGAAGCGAGTCCTGTGCTATTCCAGCATCAGACGGATGAGAAACCGAGGCACAGGGAGGGTGAGGAGCTGGCCTGTGGGCACACAGGGTGGCTGGAGCCCAGGAGGTCCCTCTGGGGTGCCTGGTCAGCCTGCAGCAACGCCCAGCAAACCACACTGGGCCTGGGACTGCGGGCAGGGGCCGCCTGGTCCACGCGGGAGACCCACCCACTGCTTCAGAAACTCCTATCTGAGGGGACCTGGCCAGCTCTGAGGAGCCCATCGGGCTTGGGGGGCTGGGGGGGGCAGGGCCAGCTCCTGAGGGCATGGGCAGCCCTCCACCCCCACAGAGACCTGGGCCAGGGCCAGGCACTTCCATCCCATACCAGACACGCCCTGGCAGCTCTGAGCGGAAGCCGCACTCCCCGGCCAAGCCCTGCCCTACCTTGGCCCAGCTGAATCAGTTCCTCCATGCTGTACCTGTCCATGGCGCCGAGCACGGCCCGGCCGCTCCAAGCCCGAGCCGCAGAGAGGAAAGGAAGGGAGGCAGGAAGGAGGGAAGAGGTGGGAGGCCGAGGGAGGGCTCCCCACCCAGCTCTGGGAGCCCTGGCTCCTCCTCACAGCCACCCCTTAGTCAGAGGGGAGCAGCACTGAAGCCCGCTGGCCAACGGGTCAGACCGGCCTGGGTGGTGCAGTGGGCCAGCCCGCCCGGCCCCGAGCCCTCCGAGCCCGCAGGCAGGGCCCCGGGGGCACCAGTCTCCGCTACTGCGCTCTCCTGCCCAGCCCACGGCCCCCCTCCTCTCCACAGCCCCCGCCCTGGACTTCCCACCCTCAACCCCTCAGCTCCCAAAGCCGGCCCTTCTCTGCCCTCCCCAGCTGGGCATAGCCACACCATGTCCCTGCCTCAGTGGTCCTCCTCCACATGGTCCCATCAGCCACTGCAGGACCAGGGGAAAGGCAGCCCAAATCCTGCCATAAACCCGCTTCTACCTACAGATATCCCCCAGCACACACAGGACCCAGACGCCAACCTAGGGACTCACAAAAAACTGCCTGGCCCGGCCGGCGTGGCCTAGTGGTTGAGCGTCTACCTATGAACCAGGAGGTCAGGGTTCGATTCCTGGTCAGGGCACATGCCTGGGTTGCAGGTTTGACCCCCAGTGGGGGGCGTGCAGGAGGCAGCCAATTGATGATTCTCTCTCGTCACTGATGTTTCAATCTCTCTCTCCTTCTCCCTTCCTCTCTGAGATCAATAAAAATATATTATTAAAAAAAAAAGCTGACTAGACCCTAATGTCCCGCAGCCACACCGGGCTCCGTGCGCTGACTCGACATCCCCGGAGGGCGGGGCTGTGGGGAGATCAAGGTGCACAGGGGGTGGGAGCACATGGGCACCGCGCACCGTTCAGAGGGCGCCTTCTCTCTATAAATGTCTGGCTTCACATTCGATTTTGGAGACAGGCATCTGCTTGGAGATGTAAATGAAGGTCATTTATAGAAACCCATCCCACCCCACAAAGCGAACCCACACTGGTAGCCAGGGCCACGGGCCATCCCACTGCTCGCCTGCCGGCCGCCAGGCCTCCCGGTCCCACCCTCGGCTAGGCGACTTGGCCAAGCAGGTCCCTCCTCATGGGTCAGGGCTCAGCCCAAGGCACCTCCTCAGAGGGGCCTTCCCTGGTCGCCCCTAAAAGCTGCCCCTTCATCCAGATGGTGGGGCGTCCCTGGGCCAGGGGCTCGGTCTGGGTCTGGCTGGTATGTGGGTGACAGAGTTGGTAGACACCTTCCCACACCGAGGAGCAAACCACCAGGGCACAGGGCGGGGCTGGGGGCACGTGTGAGTGGCCTGCAGCGACCAGGGCTCCCCGGCCAGGGCTGACGGACAGAGGCGGCCCGTTTGACCCAGATCATTCTGGGACCGGTGCAGTCGGCCCCACAAGCTCCTGACCTCGGCAGTGCCCTGGGGGAGATGTGGCGGGCTCACTCCTTGACCATCTTTAAAGCTGCGAGCCCGGCCGGCGGGGCTCAGGGGTCGAGCGTCAACCTATGAACCAGGAGGTCACGGTTCGATTCCCAGTCAGGGCACAGGCCCGGGTTGTGGGCTCCCCAGTGTGGGGTGTGCAGGAGGCAGCCGATCCGTGATTCTCTCTCATCATGGATGTTTCTATCTCTCTCTCCCTCTCCTTTCCTCTCTGAAATCAATAAAAATAAAATAATAATAATAATGAAAGCTCTGAGAAGTGGAGGTTCCAGGTGTCAGCCCACGTGCGGAGCCCTCACGCACGACCTGCAGAGGACGAGGAAGCATCGGGCCACACCCTGGGGACCGAGAGAGGGGCCCGTGGTCCGGGCTGGGCCCGAGGGGAAGAGGAGGGGGAGCCCACCCGCCGGCCCTGACTCAGCCGGGGCTGGAGCTCATTTCCTGTTGGAAACTCTGAGCTGCCACCAGCAGCGGCTGCGGCTGCGGCAGGGAAGGGAGAACTGAGTCACCTCCGTCAGGGCTGGGGGTGCCCTCCCCTGCCCACTGCGGCCACACCCAGGCCCCCTCTGGCTCTGCTCCCAAATGCCTGCCCAGCAGCCCCGCGGTCCAACCTGGCCCGGATGAGGAAGGAGGGAGGGGATCAGGGTCCCCACACCAGGACCAGAGACGGGGGAGCGGGGGTCTGCAAACCTCTGAGGCACAGGGTGTGGCGAGGGAAGGCCGGGGTAGAAGGCCCTGGGCCGGGACCTGCCCCCCCCCCCTCGACGCTGGTCAGTGCTGACCAGTCACTGCTGGCCAGCTGCCTGGCCGAGCGCCTTCATCTCCTATGGGAACAGCCATCCCATGGCCAGGAGCTGGAGAGCCCACGGGAGAGCCAGAGGCGGCCCCTGAACCCCACAATCCCACCAAACTGCCCAGGGGGTTCCCACAGCACAGACCTGGTGGGTCCAACCCAGGCCAGGCCAGGACGGGGACTCCTGCTCAACACTGGGTTCCGTGACCTCCATTCACCCAGCCCCCCGAATCCATGCCCCCTTCCCAGCCCCTCAGATGTCAATTCCGCCCCAGCTGTCGAGACACAACGAGGGAAGCAGGGTCCAGCCGGACTGATGCTGGGGGGCCTGGGCCACCCAGTCAGCACCAAGGCCCGTGAGCTCCTGAGCCCATGGGACACGTGTCACCACCCACCTGGGTCCTGTCAGCACAGGTGCTTAGGGGCAGAAGGATGCTACAGAGAAGGGCTCAGCCAGGGGTCGCTGGCAACCCCTGGGACAGCAGGACCTGTCCCATCCTCTGAGACCCAGCTCCCACCAAAAAGGACCTGCCTTGACTTGGGGCTGGGCCCGTGCCCGCCATGCCCTGGCCTCTGGGCCACTGGTGTGCTCCTACCTGGGGTTTGCTCGTCCCCTCCCCCCCCCCCCCCCCCAACCCCCATCACCAACCCCAAGCCAGCCAAACACCAGTCACAACATCTGAGCCACAAAACCATGCGGGCAGGGGTCACCCCCACTGGACAGACTCGAGGCTCAGAAAGGTCAGGCAGGTTGCCCGGCCACACTGCTGGACAGCAGCTCCACCCCGGGCACCCCAGCACCTCCTCTGGATGCCGCCGCCAGGAACAGAGAAGGCCTAGGCGCAGACAGGCCTGGGTAAGGGCAGCCCTGGGCGAACAGCTGGTCCTGCCAGTCCAGGGCCACAAGCCCCACCCCTTGCCCCAGGCTGCGCCTGGGGATGGGCTGGCAGGGGCCCATGTGCTCCTCCTGGGCCGACCCACCCAGGTCCTCAAGCCAGGGGAGGAGCCACGTGGCCCAATACAGGGCACCCAGCACCCTCAGGCAGAGAGAGCACCACCTGCTGGTGTGAGCAAAGCCCCCACCTGCTACACCCCCTCCAGCCCCCCAGGCCG